CTCTCTCGCTCTCTCGCTCTCTCGCTCTCTCGCTCTCTCGCTCTCTCGCTCTCTCGCTCTCTCGCGCTCTCGCGCTCTCGCGCTCTCGCGCTCTCGCGCTCTCGCGCTCTCGCGCTCTCGCTCTCTCGCTCTCTCGCTCTCTCTCTCTCTCTCTCTCTCTGTTGCCGGGATGTGTGGTGCCTGCGGAGCCCTGAGAGGACTTGGCCTCCCTGGGCCTGGTGCGGGGCATCTTCGAGTCGACGCTTGGCTTGCTTCGAGGTTGAGGTCCTTCAAGGACTTGGGACGTAGGGGAGCTTCAATTTCGGTCAATACCTGCTGCAGCGGAGTTTTACGCAGAGGCGAAGGTGCAAAGTTGGAGATGATCGCTGATAAAAGATGATGAGAGTGCCTGCAGGCGAGCTGGGCTTTCGGATGCTCCTACTGTTGGGCCCGTTTGTTTAGCCGAATCCCCAATGCCAACAGCAAACGCTGCAACTGGTGGTGGATGGCTCTCGGAATTTAGATGGATGTGTCGGCCTTCTTCTTCTTAATGGGATTGACCGGACTAGCTGGATCGCTTCGTCTTTGCTCAAGCCGATGCCGGTCAGGTACTGTAACATCCGGGAGTCGAGCTCAGGGATGGGCAGACCTGCCGGGTTGGAAGTTCGCTTGGATTCCGAGTGGGTTTTGTAGGGTTTTGACGAAAACCGAAAACCGACACGGCCAAATCAGATTGAAAGCCTTTTTAATTGAAGGGATCGCATGGGTCAAGCACGCTGCAGTGCTCAGGGTCTTCGCTCTCCCCTCCGGCTTCCTGGCCGACAAGCTGTCCGGAGCCCGAGAGCTCTGAGAGCTTCAGAGGCAAATCAGAACAACTGAGACTCTGAGAGTGGGCGCCCTATGAGGCCAAGACCGCTGCTGGTGTGGCTCGGGGCGGTGGTCTGGGCCGCCGCGCTGGTCGGGGTCACCTTCTCCCCAAGCCTCTCCTGGATGGTCTTCTTCAGAGCCACCTGGAGCACGTGGTCTGGGGAAAGGCCTGGTCACGGGGCTTCCTGCATCCCGAGGCTCTGAATGGTGTCGGCTTGGGCATCGTGCAGCCGCTGCTGTTCAGCTTAGTCGCTGACAAGAGCGAAGCCCATGGCAGGAAGCTGAGACTCGGAGAGACTGCAAGAGATGGTCAATGGTCACCACTTCTTTCCTTTCCTTCGTAGCTTAGATTCCTGACAGGCCGTGGCAGAGCCTTCGGCTTCTTGCAGTTTTCCGGAAACGTGGGGCAAACAGAGCCTTGACCGCCTGGCAAAAAAACGGAGGACCTTGCAGCACGCACCGCGGCTTAAGCCGAGTTCTGAGGCCTTCACGGCTTTGGCCACCGGCATCGCGACCTATCAGATTATGTCGATCGCGGGATGGCAGAGCCTCGTCTGACATGAATTGCATAGCACGAGGCCAGCTGTCAAGCCGCAGCTCATCCCAACCTGCTGAGTTCCAGGTTTGCTCTGCTGATCGTGGCCGTTCTCAGTGCAGTTGTGGGCACTCTATGCGTGCTTCTGGCGCGGCAGGGGATCAGCAAAGGAAGTGCCCCTGCTCTTCACCTCTTGAAGTGCAGGTTAGTGACCACCGCGAGAAGGACTCTCGGAGCATGGTGGCCATCATTTGTGAAGAGACGCGCGCTCCCTAAAAGAGGGGGGGGGGCAGGGTCCGTTAGAAGCGCCGCCACTCCCGGGGACCCTGGAGGCCGAAGCTTCGGCACATCGTCTGCCTCCCAACCTTCATCATCATCATCGGCCAAGGACGGAAACCTAGCGGCGAAGCGGCGAAGATCCTGCAAGCCTCTTCACTCGGAACCCATGTTTTCAAGGAGTCTTTGGCACTGCGCCGTGGTTTGCCTTCAGCTATCTCACCATGTGGCTGGAGCTGAACTGTTTCGAGCATTCGCAGGCCTGAGAGCATCCGTGTGTTACTTCAGGTAGCTGCTGTGACTTTGTTTGGGCAAGGCTGCTGCCATCATCGCCTGCTTTAACATCGGAGGGGCCCTGTCTGGGATTGTAGGAGGCAGAGCGCTGCTGGGTCTTCTTGGTGCCGACGGACCGACCGACCGTTCCTGCAGGTGTGCTTTTGGACATCGTCGCGCGGCGCTTCCCGGATCACGGCCCACCAGGACTCCCGTGAGGCTCACAAGGCTACCAGGGCGATACGAAGCTCGTGCTGTTCAGAAATGTCAACAAAGCCAGATGCTGTTGAGAGGACTTGCACAAGTGGCCGTTTTCCTATCCTTGCCGCTCTTCGCCACAATCCTTTTTGGCCTCGGCACCCTTGCTGAAGATTGTCCGACATGGTTTTGAGCTCTTCATGTGTGGTTGGGTTGAGGCGGCTTGGACCACAAGAGCCCCAGTACCTTCATAGTCTTTGCCATGATTTTCATGGTGACCGGCACCATGATTTCTTGGTGCATGGTGATGAACAACAAGATGTTCAGCGACATCGTCCCCAAGGAGTCCTACAGCTATGTCTTCGCCCTGGACCGGGCGGTCGAAGGCCTTGGGGCTGGGGCCCGGGCTCGCATAGTCGCGCATAGCCGCTTGCCTGGGACTCGAAGGCACCCTGGGAGCCTTGGGCCAACCGATCGTTGGCTGGCTCACGGACGCTTGGAGAAAAAGACCTCATCCACACGCTACTGGTAGCATGTGCCTGCAGCTTGAAGCGGCCGTAGCACGGATCAAAGAGGCGAACCGTCGAGCGTGCGCAGCCGTTGTAATCAACGAGGCAAAAAACGAAAAGTTGCTGGAGGGCACGTTGCTCGTGACTACTGACTAGTGCTGAGTTTATAAATCACTCGGTCCGCGAGATTCTTATCATGGGTGTGGTAATTCTCAAGCCTCAGACTGCACCCGTGCAGCCTCTCAACGCATTTCCCCACAGCAGGAGCGTATGGGAGCGTCATTGTCACAAGAAGCAAAAAGAACTGAAACTGTACCTGCTGTAATCCTGAAGGCACGGGTTCCAGGATTAGGGTTCCAGGGGCTGAGGTAAATCTCAGACGCTGTTGTTACTCCCCAACCACCCCGTTCCACTCGAAGCACTCCGAAGAAAGCACAACGTAAGAACAACATGGGGCGCATGAACACGCGTGCACCAAGTCATGATGCAATGCTACTAGTGTCTGCCTGAGGATGAAATTTTCCATTTCAATGCAGAAAAGGCCAACTCACAGGACGTCGGGAGCAAGCGATTCGAGTGAGTATGCCTCATACCGTTGCTCTCTGACTGCTTGGAAACACCCTGAAGGATTGCTCTCCAGACAATGCCATGAAGCTGGGCAAGGGGATTTTCCTAGTCTCGGCTGTGGCATTTTCTGTGTGCTTCGTGGCAGCATTCGTGCCTTCCGGTGCTTCATGGCTTTCGCATGCTTTCGCCTTTCTCGCACAGCTTTCAGTGCGTGGAAGTTTTGAGTCTGAGCTTGTACGCGCAAAGGCTTCATGTTCTACGGCGTGGGGCACTACACCTACCCCAGGGACTCATTGTAGGGACTGTTGATCGGCGGCTTGTCAGTGCAGCCGAAGTTGTCATAAAGCCATTGAGCCCTGGAGGATCGCCGGATCGCCTCTCACAGGCGGATTCCCAGCAAAGGCTCCTCTGAGAGCGATGGGCAGGAGAAGTGAGGACTTTCAAGTCTACGCCGAAGAGACGTTTGGTTCGTTCTTTTGCGTAGAGTGGGGCTGAGTGGCAATGACTGGGCCTCTCATCCGACTGGGCTGTGCCTGGGTCTTCCAAAGTCGCGCACCCTGGTCCAGCACGGAATACAGATTTGCAAGCCACCCTTCCGCGTGGGCGCTTACAGGCTTTTCAAGGGATTAATTCGTCTGCCCCCCCACAGAGGCCAGGCAGGACGGCACGTCAGCCATTTTTCAGCACCGGTACGTAAAGGCCTGCTTCGGTCAGCCATGCTATGCCAGGCAGCAGGCGCCGGGTGAAATGTACAGCAACGTAGGGTCACCCAGAGGATTCTCCCATTTGCAGAGGCGGGCCCGAGCTCAGCCAGATCAGATTTCTCGACGTTTTGGCATCTTGACATTTTGACCTCTGCATTCGGGGAGCACAGGGCCTTCAAGCGCGAAGGCGCGGGCCTAAACATTGTGAGCTTCGTGCGAGTCTTTGAGTCGAAAACATTGCGTGCGAGAGCGCAGCTAAAAGCGTGGACAAGTATCGGCAGCGAGCTTCGCGTTTTTGCGCTGTAGGCAGTGCCCTGCAGGCCTTACCCCAAAGCCGCGATGCGAGTCGTCACAGTGACTTGAGCACAGTGTGCCACAGACTGAAAAACGAGATCCTCATGCATGAACCTGCTTTGCAACTCTGTGGTTCGCGACTGTTACCCGGATCTGTGGTCGCTGTGCAGACGGATTGAATTCGCGCGTGGGTGCTGCTCCGAAGCCAGAGGTCTTCAGAGGCGGTGAACCACTCACGTAGTTTTAGGTAGCGTGGGCGAACTGCAATTCTTCGGATGACTTGAAAACTGTTCGGAATTTAGTGATGTGCGAGGTTTAGCTATGCGGGGTGCAGTGCCCAGTAAAGCCCTTTGTCAGAGAGAGGCCAGCAAGTGCCTTTGTGTCGTTTCTGTCGTGGCCTCGGCGTGTCGGCTTTAAGGCAGCGAAGGGAAGAATGCCAGCTACTTTGAGGAGAGTCAAGTGGACGTCGTGGCCAGATCGGCGAAGTTTCACTCCGCTCCCCACCGCCACCCTCCCTCCCAGAGCCTTCTGCGACGGTTTTCAGGGTGCTCGAACGTCCGGGCATCGGCTGCTCTGAACTTGTAAGTCCTACGATCGAGGGCAGCTGATCATCCCAGGCCGTCTTGCAATAGATGCCTCTGCCTACGGTCTAAACCATGGCAGAGGAGCATCCGCCTCGGTCCAGCCCGAAGCGTACAGCAGTCGCACGGTTCTGTAAAGCAGCCAGGATGCACTCGGGTCCCTCTGGGGCGAATTGCGGGAACTAGCAAGCACGGGTGCCCTGCAAGTGAACCGCAGGATGCTGTTGCCGCTGCCGAGACGCGATCTCGAAGAAATCGCAGGCAGGCTCTAGAGCTCGAAGGAGGTCTGCGAGTTGGCCATGCTTTCAGCAGCTTCGCCAGGCCCCGAGAAGCTGGTGCTCCTCAGCTGGACAACGGGCGCGCCGGCAGATCCAAGCCCCCCAGCTGCAATTCCGAAGTCCTTCGCCGCGTTCGCCAGCTGCTTCTGCACGGCTACGTGCAGCTGAGAGAATGCTCACATGCCGCGCGCGCGCGTGTGTGTGTCTGTGTCTGTGTCTGTGTCTGTGTCTGTGTCTGTGTCTGTGTCTGTGTCTGTGTCTGTGTCTGTGTGTGTCTGTGTGTGTGTCTGTGTGTGTGTGTGTGTGTGTCTGTGTGTGTGTGTCTGTGTGTGTGTCTGTGTGTCTGTGTGTGTGTCTGTGTGTGTGTCTGCGTCTGTGTCTCTGTGTGTGTCTATGTGTGTGTGTGTCTATGTGTGTCTGTGTGTGTGTGTGTGTGTGTGTGTGTGTGTGACTGTGTGTGTGTTGAGCTAGACGTGCGCAGTTGGTCGAACAGCGATATGATCAGATCATGTTTTCTAGGATGCTGCAGAGCGGCATCCCTGTGCTTCTGTTGGTCCTTTGGCGAATTAGCTCGCGCTGCTTTGCGACCGCACTGGCTCGAGGCGAGAAAGGCAGCCGCACAGCCATCGCGGTCAACCTGGCGCTGTCCATTCGCAAGCACGCGGGGGCCTTGGCCGTGTGCGCAGAATTGGCTACTCAAAAGCAGGCGATGCAGTGATGATTCCGGCCTTGTCCTTTCGCCGAGGCTCCTCACCTGGAGCGTCGTTTCGCTTACATCTCCATGGATGCAGTGGCCCACAAGGTGCCCCTGGAGTGAGTTGAAACCGTACGAGCGCATTGATCCACTTCCCTGTTCAGTTGAGAGTACCGCCTTGATATCGCTGCCTTGCACCATGATTGTAGCAATTGCAGCAGCTTCAATGTGATTGCTTGAACGGTGGCGCTGTGATCCTCCGGTTTGTACCCGAAAGTTGTCCAGACTTTGTTGCCCCTTTTCAGATGATGACCATCACCAATGCGTCTCTGTTTCCGTTGCTTCCCCATGTAGCGCCACGAGGGGTTGGCAGAGTCGACGCAGCTTGTCTTTGAGGAATTGCAGAGGCCCTTTAGGAATCATCTGAGCTATGAAGCTAAGCACGTGACAGGGGCAACGCTGCGCACCGCTCCGAAAAGTGCAGCATCACGCGATGCAAGCAACCACCGACTCCAGACTGTAGCTTCCAAAGCAGGGCTGACTAGACGCGCCAAACAGACGTTGAGGTCAGAATCCCGAAGGGAAGGAACAGAACGTCACTTCCATTTAAGGAGTGTGCGAACGCTCTGCTGGAAACACATCTTACCATATATGGGGTCCATCACTGCAAGGACTTCTGTGGCAAGGGTCGCAAGGGCTTGCCGAGCACGCAATCCGATATTCGAGGCGCTCCGAGCCGTTCTCGGGAAACGATGGGTCAAAAGGAGGGTATAGAGTATAGGGGTTCCTTCAAGAGGCCTGGATGCAAAAATATCGGGCAGTATAGAATATAGGGGTTCAATATCTGTATGGGTTTGTTCTACAAGGGCTTCGGCGGAAGACTAAGACTGAGAGCGAGCTCGTCTCCAGGTCATGCAGGAGTACGGTTTCAACTCCGTGCTGTGCGAGGTGCGGCTCTAGACTCGGTAGACGGTTTCTTGACAGGGATAGGAGCGACAATAGTTCTGCTACTTCTATACAAGATACAAGATGTGCATCGGCTTTTTCGACTTTCTGGCAGTTTTCGTGGTTGCGTCGCCTGCTACGCACCGACATCAGGCGGGACCATGCCGCTCCAAGGATCTGAAAGATGACATCTGGAAGATGCGCGGCTTGGCTTGGCAATTGCGGTAGCATGCGCGGGTCTTTCTTCTAAACTCTTAGGACTCTGTGCACGGCACCGGTGAAGGCAACAACACTACCACTGAGGTGGCGCTGTGTCCGTGTGTGCGCGCCGAGGATGGTACTTGATGCTCACGCTCACGGACTTTGGGCTGCGCGTGCTTGTGGTGGACGCTGACATCGTCTTCTTGGGTGACCCGACAAAGGCTGGCCAATTTTGCGGGAAACCAGGCATTGTCGGTGCAGAGGCCAAGCAGTTCAGACTCGGATCGAGCAGCCATTCTCAATTGGATGTGGCGTCAGCGGGGGTTTCACTCGCAACAAGAAGATCAGCCAGGGCCCTTTCGGCAAACTTGCGACAGCCTCGACTCAATCAATGATGTGCTGGTAGGAATTCTTCGGGGACGCTGACATGGAGGCAGCTTGGCCTGAGCTGGCCTGAGCTAGAGAGCCGATGCGACTTCTCCGGTCCAATGACCGGGCAGCTTTCAGCTACTGGTATGAAGGTTGCGGGTGACCTTGCAAGAGAGCTCGGAGGTGATGACCGACCACTTTTTCCCGGCGAAGCACCTTTGGGAGCCCTGGGTGCGCGTGGAGGCTCGGGCTGGCGCAACTTGGGGCATGGGGCAAATCGACACAAACATGAAACACTGTCACACGGTGATATCGGGATGACTCTCATCACTGCTGCAAATCGGGAGGACCACATCAACACTGGTTTCGTGCTCGTCAAGCCGACTCGGGCAATACGCGACTTGGCAGACCTATAGTTGTACTTGCATGAGGAGCGAAGCTTCGGAAACCTGTCTCTCGGGACTCGGGACATGCTGAGGGTTTCTCATTGCAGACTTTTTGGACGAGAATTGGCTCTCCGAGCAGGGAGGTGCGCAGCATGGTGTCGAATCAGTTTGATTCAATAATCACATCAGTTTTAAGTTGTTTGCACTGGAGCATCAGCACCCTGCTTCTGCCTGTCTGCTGCCCAAGGAAGCTGCGACATGTTTGCAATGCAAGTCGCCCAGAGTCTCCCGACTTCTCAACCCCCATCAACTGGTCGGGCACAACATGACTATACGAAATATACTTAACTTACAGTTTTGGCTTGCCACTTGTCTTAAGCTGCACGCAGCAGGTGTGCGACGCGACGGCATGGCCATCCCCTCAAACGCTAGCAAGCCAAGAGAAGTCGTGTGGGATGCGTCTGTGGCTGAGGATCAACGCGTCTTTAACCACTTCATCGCAGGGGGCCCAGGCGGCCAAGGCCAAGGAAGCCTTCGAATCAGGACTTTCTCTGAGCTGTGCGCTGTGGAATGTATGAGGTGCGGCGCATGAACGCTGACATCCCTTTAGTTGCGGCGCTCTGAGAGGGCTGCTCTGCCCCTCGACGTGGTGAAAGCTCCCCGGCCCATTTGCCCTGGCCTAGGTGGGGCGCTACGATGACAAGATCTTCGGACGGCCACAAAGCATTGTGCCTGCCTGGCCATGGAGACAGGCAGAGCTCAGACAGTACGGCAGCTCTGTGGAGATCCAAGTTTCAACTTGCGCAGCCGTGCAGGCTTCCATTCGGATCTTGGCAGTGCCCTCAATTTTCGCTCCACGCTCCAGAGAGCAAACGTAGCCATGGCAGCTCGGAGGACCCAGCACGAATCGCACACGGCATGAACTTCTTCTGGCGCCGAGCGCACTTGCTTGACCCAAAGGCGGGCCAAGCTTTGCGGTGTTGCAAGGGGGGATCTGGAGTCAGGTCTTTGTTTTTCACACCTCACAATTGTGGCAGCCACCTACGGCACATTTCATCCCATGCTGGCAGATTTCGAGATGCTTCCGGCTCCGTGTGCTCAGAAGAAGCCGAATCTTTGGTTCGGATGTCCTTCACCGAGTTTCCATGATGTGTCCAGGCCGGACAACATGCCCACTCGTCTTAACCTGCCTTGCAAAGCCGTAGAATGGCAACATTGAAAAGGATTTTCATCCATGACATGGAGTGAGGGTTGGCAGGCTGGGCACTTGAAAGCGATGGGTCTCTATAGGTGCGAAACTGCTGCTGGCGATAACGGCACGTCACCAACCAATGCTGAGCGTGAAGATACAGTAGTCAATAGTAGTCAATAGCCAATAGCCGTTGCACAATTATGTCGGGAAGGCAGGACCCGACTGGTAATTACAAACAGCTCAAGCCAAAAATGTGGCATTACCAATGTGCGTCGTCTTGCGCGTGGCGATACTGCAACCAGCGGTTGCTTTACACGTAGTTGCGAAGCATGTATAGAGCATGCTGAGCGTCGTAAAATCACTAACATCGTCGTCGAATTGGATGCGGCCACGAAGGTACTGTGTCTGTTGCAGAGTCTTGGTATGTGGATTCTGAAGGATTTCGCTGCTCCTGGCAGTTGCGAGTTCTGCTTGAGCTGTGCTCCCGCACAGCATGGTGTGGCAATTCTGTGGAATACATCATGTGGAAGAATTCGGAAATCCAGCTTTCATGCGCCGCCCGACATGATAACACGGTCAAGGCTTATGTCTGCCATCTTCTATATGGATTTCGATTTTGACGTGGGCCCCGCATCCAACGGCAGTTCACGACAACTGCTTTGTTGCCTCGCTGATGATTTCAATGCCTGCGTCGGCGCATCGAGCGTTGCTCATCATTACGTATTCGGTGTCTGGTTTTTCCCGCTGGCTCGTAGACTCACCCGCTCAGATCCATGCCCAGAAGAGGGGGATGGTCGGCACCTGAACCTGTGCGACTCAGATTGGTCAGCTCCCGGCTGTGGCGCATGTCAATGGCGCCGACCCGAAGGCACAGCCCAATCTGCGAAATCGCGATGCTTGGGTTCCAGTCAGTTGGCCATGTATGGCAGGAGTATTTCTTGCGTGACCGACAGGCCCCCAAGTTCGCAAAATGTGCGTTTGGCGGGGAGGGTTGGTTCAGGGCCTTCCGGGCAATTCCTTGCCTCGCGCACTCCCCGCGATCTGTTTCCAGTTCTGAGCCTTGCAGCCCAGGTTTGGTTCCTGGACGACTGGCACGAGCGGATCAATTCCTCCGTCCGGCCTGGAGCCAAGCAGCCAATACTTCAGCCAGAATGGCCAGGTGCTTCGCAGTCCCTGAGAGGTTCCTCATGTACGACCACCCCGGCGGCCAAAGCCTGCAGGGCGACTTTTCCGCCTTGTCTGCTGCCGTGGAGGCTTTCGCTTCTCTGCATGAGGGAGATCGCCAGCACAACAACGGATGTGGTTGGTTGCCTGGCAGGTCGCGAAAATGCTGAGGCGACGACTCGTGCTTCCCGACACCATGAACTGCCCGAGCCTCAGCCAACCACTCCGACGGACTCAGGATGCACCGGAGGGTGGATCGGCTAGCTTTTGACAGGCCGCAATGCTCCATCGTACCATGCGTGGAGCCTGAACATCACGGTGCAGGGTGAGACCGAGAGCCCAAGCCCAAAGGGAGGAGGAGGGAAGGTTCCCAATGCTCACATGGTAGTGCACTACAGTAAGGTGGGAACTGCACCTTCGATTATTTTTCCTGGGCGACATGGCTGCATCGTCGCTCTGGGGTTTTTCTTGTACAGGCTACGGCTACGAGCGATCGAAGGGCCACAAAGGAGTGCAGTGGAACGATGCTGAGGCAAAGAACCTTCTGGATGCGCATGTCGGCTTTGTGATCGAGCTCCTGCCTGAGAGAGTGTGGCACTCCGAGACCGAAGCATCCGCTGATCATCCGCTGCCTTCTTTGGAGGTCTGGTGTGCGGAAGACACCCGAGTTTCTGCAGCTCGTGGAGGACGGCCCGGTACAGGGTGTTGTTACTTGTCACCATGACAAGCTTTTGATGTACATTGAGAAGCTTTCTGTGTACAGCGTCAAGCTAACATGAGTTCACCATGACAGTTCATCATGACGACCATGCTTTAGACTTTCATGGTGACTTAAATCTTGGCCAGTCATCAGGGCGCGACCAGCAGTTGAACATGCCGGCTGCCTCGTACTTGCAATCACGCTGCACCATCTAGACGACGCCCGTCTGTCAATTCTGCACCCACACATGTCTCCGACTTCCTGTGTCGCTGCAAGCGTCCCTTGATTTCCCGTGTCTTGTCTGGTGGCTTGTGGTGGTGATGGCCGTCACTGAAGTTTGCAGGACTCTTCGATGAGTCTGCCACCAATTTCAGCCTTGCTCTCAGTTGCACAGCAGCGGCACACTTGCAGATAGTTCCAGCATGCCTGGAGTGGCTCTCCGCAATTTTGCCAGTGTTGTTGGCTTCCCTGTGCGCGGACTTACCAGCTACTAAGCCTCCGGGTTGGCATCAGTTCTGCCAAGTGCCGCGTAAATTTCAATCCCCTGCATGTGGAACTGGCACCGGATTGACACTTCGAGGCGTGGCCGCGCCGGGAACGCCAAGGTGGGGCAGCAACGGTGGAAGTTGAAGGATTTGACAGGAATCTGTGTGTCTTCTGAGCTCTGAGAACTGCCAGGCAATACTGCAAAGTGGTTGCAGCAAGTGGCGCCCGAAGCAGTCGCAGTGGCTCATGTGGCGGAGGACATCTTGCAGGTACCTTCTTACAAGCTCTGACCATAACCCTTTGTCTGCTTGCAGTCCCGCCTTTTGTTGTGCCAGGTGCGCGCTGCTCTGCGGCAAGCGCTTTATGCGTCTGTCCTGGCCCTACCCATGTTTCGAGGATGCACTTCGAGCACTTGTTGCATCGCTTCCGCTGGAACCCAAGCCTGCAGCCCAAGGAATGGGATTCGATGACCTGCATCTTCCAGCAGTTCCCCCACCAGGATGGGAATTGAGAGATGTTGAAGTTGTCAGTGGCTCACAAGTACACACTTTCATTGGTTTGCTGCGGAATGGGCACGACCGAAGCCCAACCTAATCATGCCGTAGAGACTGAGTGTCGGCACCCGTGCCACCTCTCGTCTGGCCTTGACCCCAAGCCTGCCGGCAGGTGAACGTTTGCCGCGACGATCGATTTGTGTCACGGTTTGGCAAGGGACCGGGATGTGTTGGGGCATTTGCAACATGTATGCCTCGAAGTTTTCAGCTCCTGTTGGCAACTCCCTTGTCGGGTGACCCGGAGGAGCACAGTGTGATCCTGCGCCCGGGCAGGTGCGGTGCTTCTGTGATGGCTCCTGCTTATTCCTTGGGAAGCCTTGGGAGGCGGCCTGTGGCTTTCATGGCTTCAACTGCTGCGCCGGGCCCGGAGGGAGAGCCCGGTGCTGGGAGGGCCTCCCGCGGCGTGCCCGAGGCATGTCCTTCTGGGGTTACTCTGAGAAGTTGGAGATCTTCACTGGCGCGCGCTGGGACCGGCGGTGGTCCGAGATAGTCCGAGTCTCAGACTAGAGGCTCAGAGCAGCGTTTCTGTCTTGCGAGGACCTGCCCTGCAACTGTGGCCTCGGGGAGAGCTGTGTCCAGACCAAAGAGCACAAGGCAGAACAGGCTTTTCCACGAGGCACGCAGTTTGGCCTCAAACTCCAGCAGCTCAGATCGACCGGGAAGACCAACAGTACATTCGGCATTGCTGCCGGTCACCTAGAACATCATCAGAGCCTCCAAGGCCAGGAGATGTCTTGGGCTTCGTACCTGCCGATGGCCAGGTGCACATCAATTGGAGCCGAAGCCGCAGGCCCGCGACCCTTTGCCTTTGCCATCCTTTGCCTTCGGTATAGGCGGCCAAACAGAGAGAACACGCTGAGGAGCATTGCATGTTGGTGCCGGAGCAGCAGCCAATGACCATCTATGGTGACTCCCACTTCTACTCGCGGCTTGCCCGGCATAGCTGATACCGTTGTGGTCCAGGCATAGATGCTGTGACATCAAATTGCCAGCAAGCAAGGTCCTATCTGCTGTGACTTGGCTCTACGGGGCGAGATGCCGCAATGCCGAAGAGCGATCACGGGCATGAGCTCGCAAATCTAAGGAATGACTTCATTGACGGCCCAGCTCTCAGAAAATGGTTCCCAGTTTGGGATTGTTCTGCAGTCTGGTCTGTCTGTGTTTCTGTCTGTGTGTCTGTCTGTGTGTCTGTCTGTGTGTCTGTCTGTGTGTCTGTCTGTCTGTCTGTCTGTCTGTCTGTGTGTCTGTCTGTCTGTCTGTCTGTCTGTCTGTCTGTCTGTCTGTCTGTCTGTCTGTCCTGTCTGTCTGTCCTGTCATCTGTCTGTCTGTCTGTCTGTCTCTCTCTCTCTCTCTCTCTCTCTCTCTCTCTCTCTCTCTCTCTCTCTCTCTCTCTCTCTCAGAAGCACAGGGCGGTTGACCAAGGCCGCATTGATCCGGCACGTGCACTGCAGCGCTGCAGTGACCATCGTGTCCAACTCCTGGGCTTTACTGGGTTCTTGTTACGGGATTTATTTCAAGTTACCATAATAGGAAGCCATGTTGTTTCCTACAGATCCCTATTACAGTAACTCAAAAAATCCCGAAGAAGAACCCAGTTTAGGGGCTCGAGAGAGCCCAGAGTTCAGATACCACACCATGATATACTATATTATTATAACACAATATACTATAAGACACCATACTATAATCGAGAGAGCTCAGATTTCAGATACCATACCATAGTATACTATAGAAAAATACAAGAGGCAAAGTACACTATACCATATTCATATACCACACCAAAATATACGATAGAAAATACAAGAGGCAAAAATTGCACTATACCATGTTCATATACCACACCATAGTATACTATAGAAAAGTACAAGAGGCAAAAATGCACTATACCATATTCATATACCACACCATACTATACTCTAGAAAAATACAAGAGGCAAAAATACACTATACCATATTCATATACCACACCATACTATACTCTAGAAAAATACAAGAGGCAAAAATTACACTATACCATATTCATATACCACACCATGATATACTATAGAAAAATACAAGAGGCAAAAATACACTATACCATATTCATATACCACACCATAATATACTATAGAAAAATGCAAGAGGCAAAAATGCACGATACCATGTTCATATACCATACCATAATAATATATATTCTCCTTCAATACACTATACTGCACTATACCTATAATCGAGAGAGAGTTCAGAGAGCCTCCAGAGCTCCAGGCTGGGACTCTCTTGGACTCGGACTCTTCCCGCGCCTCACCCTCGGGTGCCTCTTTGGGAAAACCGTGGCATAGTAGAGTAGAGTATAGTATATTCTAGTATAGTGTATTATATATGTATTATAGTATAGTATATGATCGTATCTTGTGGTATAGTATATAGTATATAGTACAGTATAGTACATTACATAGTGTATTGTGGTGTAGTCCGACCTCTTCGTATCCGTTTGCCCACGGGTAGCGAGGCTCTCCTGCACTGTGGCACGATGATCTCCGGCCTGTCGCCACTCTGATCGATACGCCGATGATAAGCCCTCAGCTGGCGGACGTCGCGACATGTGGAGCTCTCGCACCCAGGCTCTGGCGTGGCCGCTATGACCGAGCTTTCAAGTGGCCGGGAACTCGGCACCACTGCTTAGTGGAGTGTGGTTCCATCCAGCCTTGCATTGCAGGCTCGAGCACATCCACTGGGTGCGGCGGCGTCCCGGCATGCCAAGTTCGGACCTCGTTGCATCCGATGAGCGTCGCTCGTGTGAACACTGCAGTGATGAATGCGCTTATGCGCCTAGACCCTTTGTCCTGGGAGACTGGGCGACCTTCTAGCAGTGTCGCAGAGGCCGCAAAAACATTTGCGCTCGCGATGCATAGTTATGGTTGGCATTGCATAACATTGTCCTCTGCAATCACCATTTGCTGGCCCGTCCTTAGGGCGATGTTGGAAGCGAGTGGAAGCTTCGGCACGACCTGGAGCAGTTCCGCCACCTGTCGAGGCAACATGTTGAGTGCGTGCTTGAGGAGTTGCAGGGTCAAGTAAGCGGTCTTTTCCGGTCCCACACAGCCATCGCAACCTGTTGTCCGTGCACTTTTCATTGTTGCCGTGCTGTCCGGACACGACAGTCCACCCCATGAGACACATGTGATCATGTACAGGGCAGACAGGACGTGACTCCGACCTTGCAAAGTCTTCGCAGAGGGCCCGAGTCGAAGCAGACGCACGTTATCAACTCTTCGAGTACGTCGGCCAGACGAGCAAGCTTCAGCAGCAGGTTGAAAATGTCAACATCGTGCGCCATGCTCCAACATCCACGGCCCTGCTCCCACCATTTCCCGCAATCCGCCATCAATGAGCACATCAGTTACTCTTAGTAGACGCTTTTCGAAATGCAAATGGAACGAAGGACATTGCGGATTGCGGGCAGTTCGAGTCCGTGCGCCATGTGACGAGTTTCAACTTACAGACGCCCGTCAAGCCTAGCTCGGATCTTGTATTGCTCGATACGGTTCTACTATATATGCTGAAACATACTGTATGATGTATCAGTGTTGACCTTCCATCCTGGCGACTTGCGTCGCGATCGCGCCGTGGCTTGCGGAGGCAGCAGAGGCGCCAACAAGCTCGGGGCTTACATCGGCCCTTGCTGTTAAGCTGCTGTTTAGCTTCTCGAAGGCAGCTCGCGGCTTTCGATGCCGTCACTTTCAGTCAGCCCGAGGTCTCGCCATACGCACCGCTTCTGTCGCCAGAGGCGGCAAGCGGTCTGGCGGCGCGGCCCCATGACTGGGTACTTGCAGGTTTTTCACTGAACACGTCAGGGATCTGTCACGGGATCTGTCGCATCTTGCGTCAGGCTATCCCTGTAGTCCATGTTTGCCCTGCCATGCCATGCCATGCCACGCTAGTTTGCCTGCAGAAGTCAAGATCCGCAGCCTTCTTGCCGTAGGGATGTTAGCTTCCCGATTCGCCAGCTTCAGTTCTTAAGCATGCTGTCGACCTCTTGAGAGCTGTATCCGGCAATTCGGAGCTGTTCTGTTGGCCTGTGAACTTGTGGAAGACATGACCTGCTGCTGTTGAGGAGGCGGCATCCAAGCTGCTGCAGATCTTCCGGCTGGATTCTCAAGAATTCCAGCGCGAGAGTCGAAACGAAACCTCCTTGCGATGCAACTTGCGCGCTTGCCCGCATGGTATTGCAAACGCATATGTATTGTTAGTAGATCATAGCTGCAGTCACCCGAGCGGTTTTTGGAGACAAGCCGCCACTCAGGTCTCAGGGCCCAGAGGGTGTCGGGGCCTTGGCTTCTGGACTCCGGCTCTCAGCGCTCAACCAACGTTCCGTGCATGGAGTAACAAGTAGTCCCTGAGCACTGCGTGACATTTCCCCAGTGCGCACTGCAGCTTCAGGGTGGCACATCTAAACCGTCGAAGTCCAAGCATCCCATAGGCCAATGGCCAGTCACATGGCCTTGGGCATAGACCCTTAACCCGAATCCTCAATAGTAATCGTTTTTTTTGGACTTTGGCCTGACTTCCGTAGCCGAACATGAGAGGCGAAAGCATCCCTGGATGCCGAGCTCTCGGGGCTGGGCACCCACGTCTGTCTTGCGAATCGTTTGGCATGACAGTACGTATGCTTTATATGAAGATACTAACCAACGAAACATGTATATTGCATTATGACATGATTCAAATATTGCGTTACTACATCATCACGTCCCTCTTTGTCCATGTTGCCACATTACGACACTACTACTATGTTTGCTACGTTGCTATATCATAAATTTATTGTATTGTGGTATTAATACATCATTTACTTCGGAAGTCCAGGGAGGCAGATAGGAGCTTGAGCTTAACATGTTCCCTCAGGACGGAAGGATGGGATTGCCCGGGTGAAACAGGCTTGGAAGGTAGTGAACGCGCGCTTGTGGTTCTCTGCCTTACACCCCTTCGTAACTCACTTGCACAGCATAGCATGTTTCGTGACGTTATCAGTTGCATGTGGGAGTGCCATCCTGCATGCCTCGGTCTCAGCAGCTGCTTCTGCGCTGACTTTTCTGCTCCGTGCCGCGCTAGCAGGGCAGCACGGCTGTGTGGCTTCAAAGCTAAGCACCTCCGTGCGGGAGCTGGGGCTCCCAAGCCTAGCTCTGAGCCTTCGTGTCTACATGTGCATCAGAAGGGGTTTCACCACAGGGCATCGGTCTAGGCTGTCTCGTTGCAGACATGGGTCTCGAATATAGTAGCATCATGTCGAGGCGATCGCATTGCATCGCTCTCATGGCTTCCTAGTTTCTTGCTGCAAAGCTGTGTGCTGCGTGCACACAAGCAGTTGCCATGTCGTCGCCCACCACAGGCAGAGGCCAGCAGGACTCGGGCTTCCGGGCTTAAACGGCATTGTGGCAGGGTTGCTCTTTCAACCCCGCGTTTTTCTTGTCGTAAAAGATCGCCGGTTTCTGTGCGAGGCTTCCTGAACTCTCTCACCAGCTTCTTCTCAGCCTTGACCGGCAAAGACCTCAGCACTCCGCATCCGCGCCTTCCGTAGCCGTCGAGCAGCGTCTGAGACCGTCTGACACCGTCCTGGCTGGAGGGCATGGCTCGAGGTACTCTGGGGATGCAAAGCATTGGGAGAGTCCAGGGGAGAGGACGGAGTGCTTCAGGCGTGCGCTTCGGCTTTGGCATGGCCAGCATCTTGCTGACATTCTGGGTGACGCCCCTGAGGCCTGCATCAGCCTGCATCCTTCAAAGCATTGGGATGAAGTTCCGAACAGATTCGGGAGGAGAGTGAAGAAGATAAGGTCGCATCGATAGTCGGTGCTCCAGACTCAACGGGATGTTGAAAATGTTTGCTTTCCGGACCTAGCTGCTAGCTGGAAGATTATCCTGAATGCATGGACTTACCTCGTTGAGAAGTATTCCTAGGCAGCGTCAACACCTGGATAATTGTCCTTCGCCGGGAAAGATGAGTTGTCGAGCTCTCGCCCATGATCTGTCGCCGGCATGCGCCGGCGCGACAACTGCCATCTTGGGCCAGATGCCGGATGCCCTACTGTATGTAGGGACCATAGGCTTTGATGCTTCCTACCGCTGGCTCAGGCGGTTTGGAACAGACGACCAGCGCTTGCAAGAGATCAAGCGCCCCTTGGCAGCGTGTCAGCTGCAATGCTCAGCTTGGTGTGGTGCCATGCATGACCCAGCGTTGCCCAGAGTTGCCAAGGCTTAAACAGGCTCTGTGCAGAAAGAATGCTGGAGTTGGTTCTGAGCTCGGTCTCCTGGCGCTCCACTTCGCACGCAGCCGAATCTACCACGTGTGGCGTAATTGCCTGGCTTGCGGCTAAAGGTGCTCAGCCTCAAGGGCTACTATGTGAAGGCGGGTGGATTCTTGGGACCTTCGGCGGGACACGAGCTGTGTTCTTGGCGAGGCAGCGCAGACCTTGTGCGGTGCGGGGCAATTCCCCGCTGAGCAACCTGGCACGAAGGATGAAGCTTTCAGCAATCCGCAAGCCAGCCGTCGGTGCGGAAGGTTCGATGAGGTCTTTGCCGTCCTCCTCGACGATTGCCCAAAGGCGCCTTGAAGACGCAGACAGCTCCGCGGCACGCAAGACTCGCTGAAAGGAGCCTTTCGAAGTCGTCCAAGAAATCATCGAAGCGGAGCGGGGCTCCGAGGAGGAGTCCCGAGTCAGGAGCCACGTAGGAAGGAGCGCAGCCGCTTTGCTGTCCGAGGTTGGGCGCCTGCATAGGCAAGGCTGCGGATGTGCGCACATTGAGTATCTCATGCTTCGTGCGTGGTACTTCTCCTGCTGACCACGTGCGACGTACTTTTCTGATGTCTTTCAGGCGACATCTTCGAGCAATTCGACGCCGATGCTGTCGCTGCGGCCTCCATTGCGCAGGCAGTTAGAGCCGGCGTAGCCGTTCTAGCCGTGGCTGCTGTGGTCGGCTGTCAGAAGCCCGCCACTCGCGGGAAGTGTCAAGCCCCAGACGACGTGCACCTTTTTTGCGGGATCGCAGCGGCCAGGTGCATTTTGCCAAGCTTCCGGACGGCACAGAGGCTTGAGCCCAAGTAGGCCGTGGGCCTCCAAGGGCTTCTGCCTTCGAGCGGAAGACCTGTGAGGTGGCGGTCAAAGTTCAGTACCCGAGCGTGGAGCGTTTTTTCTACATGGATGTGCCTCGGTTGCACAACGGGTGGTGACATGCGGTGATCAAGTCTGAAGAACTGAAGAAGAATCACTGCTGTGAGTCCGCTGAGTGAAACCGCTGCTCGTGATGCGCAGGCTGCTGTGCAGGCTCTCTGTCGGTTTTGAATGCAGATTTCGTGCATTCATGAGTGCTGTGACGACATGTCACAGTTCAAAAAGTTTGATGTATCATGGAGTTTAAGGAAGTGACGTTGTTGAACTTGTCACTTGTGGGGGAAAAGATGCAGAAATTTGGCGGAGTCGCAGGGTATGTGGCTTGCAACACAGAAGTCCTTGGATGGGATGGCTGGATAGGTGGATTGATCGCCATGCGAGTCACTGGTCATACACTGAGGTTGCTACCGTTTCCTTCGCTGGCGACCCAGACCGTGCCGGAAGTCTCAGAAAACCCGAGAGCCTCCACGGCTGCCAGGCCATGCAGTTGCTTGGTATGGGCAGCCAAGTTCAAGAGATTTTTTCCACCATGCAGGCGCGGACACCGCGGGTGTGTTGCGCTCCCAGGGGAAATCTGTGGCAGACTCGCAGGACCAGTTCAGACAGGAGTTTGACTTCACTGCAGAGGCTCCGGGCTTGGACCCTGGCTGTAGAGTATCGGCGATACCGCGTCTCAGAGGCGGATGTGATGCGCGAGCTGGCCGACAACCTGCTGCCAGGAACTTCGGCAAATGACTGGTCCAACGTCCCCCGATCCTGAAGACCCCGAGGCCCGAGTTTGGAGATGAGATTGAGATTCCATTGCCGCTCCTCGGCCTTGAACATATGAGGCAAAAAAAGAACATATGATGTCAGGGCTTCTTGAGACCCCGGAGTCTTTTCTGAGCTCCGAGCCTCCGAGCTGAGGATCGACCGAGCTCACCCCTCCTGCCCCTCCGCTGGCGGGCTCTGCACTCCCAAGGCACAGTCTGAAGGATGTTTGGATTCTTGGGTGAAGGACGTCGAAGGAGGTTTGTCTCTTTAGGTGAGGATCGGAGGGCCTAGGCTCCAAAGGGCGCGGAAGAATCCTTTGCTTGGTTCTGACCTGAAGAGCCGTTCCCTTTACAGGTTCTGGTCATGGTCCCCGGCTCAGCGGCGGCAAGGTGCAAGGTAGTTGTGATGGATTTGAGTGGAGTGGCAATGACAAATCTGTCAATCTGTTGCGTTCTTCGGTGTTGTTTGTGGAAACTTTTGCCCAGGGTTTGAACCAGGGGAAGGGTTGATGGGGCGTGTTGGGGGGGGGGGGGGGGTATCGCGTTTCGTGCCAAGGAGCGCCTACATGGAACGCCCATTCGAAAGTACTCCATGCCGCTGATGAAGATGCATTTCGGCAGAAAGTCTCGAGGGAGGTGTTTAAGCCTGGGCGTTGATTCGGCGGTCGTCGGGTGCCGGTGTGCAGCATACAGTACAGCTGTGGTTACTTGGGCTTGTTTGCTTGAGAGGTTTGCGGAAGCGTATGGAATGTCGTGGGAGGAGCTGAAGAGGACCGACCTTGCCTCGCTGTCGAAGCTCTCGGAATTTTGGTAATTTTGGTATCTCCGTAGTAATTCTTGTGCCGTGGGTCGCACCCTCTTAGTCTTTGACTGGCAATACAGCTGGCATGCCGAAATCCGCTGCGGGTGTTGGTCAGAGGATGCTGGACTCTCAGGACTTGTCGAAGGCGGACTGGGGCCGGCTCGAGTTTCGCAGTCGCATCCATGCCTCCTTGGCGAAAAAAGCGTGAGAGCGGCGCCAGGTGGACATGAACAACATGCTCGTGAGACGGGCGGAAGGCTGAGGCCAAGTGCGTCTCTCTCAAAGTTCCCTGCCGACTGCCTTTGCCGAGGCCCTGAACATGGGGCGGGTGACCGAGTGTCAGAGCAATCTCCTCGCAGCTGGCATCCAGGCCCCCCGCCCCACCTTATAATACCAGAGTACTAATACTATAATACTATAATACTGCTATAGTAGACTGCCTAGCTCGGTCGCCACGCCGGGCTGCTTCTGCTTGCCTTTCGCCTTGCAGGCGAGGAACTTTGCTTCCAGGACGGACTCTTCCAAGTGGCGCACTTGGCCTGGAGCCGTCACACTGGGCACCTGCAGGGTAGGCACATGTTGGCAGGATCGTGGGCGCATGCGCCGAAGGCATCCTTAGGGTTGCTGCCTCAGGGGAAGTGGTTCCATGTCCGCAAGGAGTGGTGCAGCTGATCTGCTGCTCGCTGTCTTTGATGTCTTGCGTGTTCTGTCTAGAATCTAGAGGCTAGAAGGTTCAGGATGTTGCAAGATGTCGTTGCCCGCACTGCCGCAGCTGTGGCGTTTCGCTCCGTTGCGGGCCGAGAGCGCTTCCTGCCTAGAATGGCAAAGAGAGAGCAGAGCGGTGTGGTCAAGAAGCACCCGTTCCAGGGGAGGACGGCCCCTCGGCAGCCGAGTGAAAGCC